AGCGTGTGGTCGTGAGAGACAGCTACTTCGGGAGATGCAGCAGCACCTCCTGTGTCACAGTGACAGCAAGTTCTACCTGTGTGTGCGATGTCTGAAGGGATTCAACGACACCTTCGATATGAAGCGCCACACTCGCAAGCATACGAGTGAGTACACTCTTCCCCACCTCTCCCTCCACTTCTGCCTTATTTCACTTACCCTCCTCCTCCCTGAATCACTCATCCCTCTCCTTCTACTTCTTCTACACCTCCTCCACCACCTGCTGCCACTCTGCAACTGATGCTGCTTTCCCGTTCACATTGACGTGGGATGCGATGCAATGCCATGTGGTGGACTGGAATGTGATTGGAATGGATTGGATTGGATATGATGGGATGGAATGCAATGTGGTGTAGTGGTGCGTCCCTATGCGTGTCCGCAATGTCCGAGCCGATTCAGTCAGCGCTGTTCACTGGAGGGTCATCTCAAGCGGGTTCACACGATGCAGTTGCACTTTGCTCGTCACCAGCGTCGTGAGGTGCTGCGTGTATGCGAGCGTTGTGGATTCACCTGTGACCACTACGCACAGCTGCTGACTCACACAGAACAGCAGCACCCCACTGACCAGGATGCCATCACTCGACTGCGCAAGCGTGTCATTGCTGCTGCCAACAGAAATGGTTCCTCAATTCTGCACTTTCCCTAAAAGAAAAACACTATTCTCACCTGCTACATTTATTTCCACACCTGGTGAACATTACCCCAGATGCTAAACCAAACGCGAGAGATGACCAGCTTCTGTTGCTGATGGAAAGCACTCTTTCCCTTTTCCTTCTACGCTAGATGCTTTCCTTTTTGAGTAAATGCTCTTGCACAAACCGACTTTTGCAAGTGCACATTATGACATTGTCTGTCACAGAGAAGTACGTCCGTATTCCGAGAGAAGTCAACACGTGATATTCACAACGTGGACGATGAGAGATAATGGGATGCGTTGTTACTTATATTGCTCCAGCCTATTGAATAAGTAGCTGATGAGG